GCTTTACTTTGTTTGGTTACATGTGTCCTTCAAATATTCCTTCAAATAACCCAACAATTCTTCTTCTGATTATTTCTACGCATAAAATAAGACACTTTTGGTTCTCATAAAAATCGCTGTCAACTAGGCATGATGATACGTGACTGCCTGCTGATCAGCACTGATTAAGGATTTAAAAGTAACCTAACTGTAAGATGAAATATTTTCCAAGGACTCAGGAGGCTGCATTGGGAAGACAAGGTCTGAGGCTATGGTGTCTAATCAGTAAGATTTGGTCTGAATTGTGCATAATCACCACGGAGCTGGAAACAATTCAAATGACTTTTGCTATGGAATGATAATTTCTCAATGCTAAACGACAATGCATGGCTCTCCGGTTGGATATATGCACAAGTCTGTTTTTTATCTCACAAAACTGTGACTTTAGTTCTACACTGTCTTTTTAGAAAGTAAAGTTGATTAGTTTGTCTTTATTGTCTCATTGCAATGAACAATAGTTTTGAAACAATGAACAGTGTTTTTGGAAAGGAAATAGTGAGAAAGGGGACAGAACTGGTGTCTATTGGGAAAATAGGTGAGGTTGAAATATCTATTAGGCTAAAAAAATAAAAGATTGCAAGAGAGATTGCTCAAATGAGACAGTCAGTCATCAGTACTAAGCAATTTCAACTGTGTCCTAGATTCCAAAAGCAAAGTCAATACTGAGCACAATAGCTCTCTGGAAACCTGAGGAAGGCATAATTGACTGCGGGGCTCTTACAATGTGAATACATTTCCCAACATTAGGTGAAAGTTCCAATGCATTCTTAGGAAAATAGGCCAGTGGCCATTTTAATGACAGTATTGTTAGTGAGTCACTCAAGACTTCCAACCAGCTCAGGCATACACCTAAAATCCTCTGGTATTTAAAAAAAATATATTATGGTTTGATGTTATTCACATCAGCCTCTTAATTTTTAACCACTTAATGTTCTTGTACAAATTATTTTTAAATTATCCTCAAAAATATGAGTTCTTTATGATGATGCACTCGTAGTAATCTACATTATATATTGGGAAGGGAAAATCCCATCCCTGACTTATTGTAAAAATGGTAACAAAACCTGCATCTAATCTGCTTGTGAGATCCTAGGGAGGTGTTATGCAATGGGGAGGGAGGACAGGAGATGAAGCAAAGCTCATGTAAGAATGATCTCAACCATATTCAAGGACCATCAGAACGGCTTAGGGATCCAGGCTACTCATCCTGTAACGTGCTCGTTTAGCAAGCAGGACCTGAGTTTGTATTCTCAGTACTCACATAAAAGTATGTTGTGCCACACAATCATAACCCTAGTCCTAAGGAGGCAGAGACAGGAGGATCCCTTGAGATTGCTGACCAGTCAGTCTACCCAAAATTTCGAGTTCAAGGTTCAATAAGAATGACCTTATCTTAGATATAAGTGACCCTGTCTTAGATGGTCTTTATCTTTGTTTTCTTACCCACCTTCATGGAATAAAACATACATTAAAAACAAATAGGTTAAAATGTTGTATGTATGTGTGCATGTTCATATGTGTGAGTGTTCTCCTGTGCATTAGTGTAGAAGCCAGAGGAGGAGGCAGGGTGTCCTGTTCTACCATGTTCTACCTTATTCTCTTGAAACTGTGTATCTCACTGAACCTGGGTGTGGTCTACTGGCCAGAAAGCTGCAGAGATCTTCCTGTCCCGCTGCAGAGATCTTCCTGTCCCGCTGCAGAGATCTTCCTGTCCCGCTGCAGAGATCTTCCTGTCCCCCCTCCGCCTCCAGAGTGCTGGGGTTACAGATGCCTTTGACCATGGCCAGCCTTTTACATGGCTTCTGGAGATCTGAACTCAGTTTCATATGCTTGTACTGGAAATGCCCTTACCTGCTCGGCTGTCTCCCAAGCCCTGACCTATATTTTCTTAATCTGTACTGTCACGTTGCTATGGAAATTCTTTCTAGCACATGAAACTGATCCTCCACACTTAGCATGTTTCCCTATATTCCCCCCATGTCTCTCATCTGTGTGTGTGTGTGTGTGTGTGTGTGTGTGTGTGTGTGTGTGTGTGCATGAGCCCTCTTCATGCAAGTGAGGAGATCACAGGCTAATACCAGGTGTCTTCCTCGATTTTTGACCACCTTATATCTAAGACAGGGTCAATTCTGACAACCCTGACTTCAATTAGAATAAAGTAGATAAATTGTGGTTCTTATAAAATTGCAAGGACTCCCATCTTATCCCAGACAGATGAACTTTATACAGCAGTGGCCTTACATGTGGGGGAACTGAGCTGCAGAAAGTTAGTGCATCTATATCAGACTCCCAGAGACTCAAAATCTTCCATGGCCAGGAGCACTAAGTGTTTATATGGCAGTGCTTGATGCTACTTAGTATTCAGCAGGAAGCAGACAGCTGACTGAATGTTTACTTGGACTGCACACACTACAAACAGCTCTCTGGTAATGTCTCCCAAAGCCATCTCGAACTTTTCCACCCCATGAAAAGAAGTTCTGATTTTAAAAGGCACTGGAGCAGTCAGAGTTACTCTTTAATGACTTACAGTTTCATATTTTAGCTTCTGTAACCCAGCTGGAAATAATTGCACATAAGCAGTTTAAAAGTGGGTTGCAAGTCATAAAACCTATTTCTGCGGGTTGAATGCTCACATTATAAGGGCAGAATTTGACAATTTAGGCTAACACTCTAGTCTAGTAGACAACTTTTACATATCAATCCAATCAACTTAAGGTTTCTCCACAGATAACACAGGGGAAGTTTTCTTCCATGGTTAACTTTCTTCTAGAATGTACTAGGTCAAGGCAGGAAGCATAGCTCAGCTCAGCGATAGAGCACTGGCCTAGTGTTGCAGGCCTTAGAGTCAATCCGAAGTATGTGATACAGGGAAGGAATGAGGCCTGGGGAGATAGTTTAGCAGGTGAGAGTATTTGTTACACAACTTGAAGCCCTGAGTTCAAACTCCCAGCAACCAATGTAAAAAGCCTGGCATGCCATAAAAAGCCTGGAATCCTTTGCATGTGCCTATAAATTTAGCCCTGTGTTGTGTGAAAATAAGATTGCTGGAACTTACTGGTAACTGGCCTTGTTCCAGGTTCAATGAGAGTCTCTAACTTAAGGTAATAAGATAGTTATTTAAGAGGGAACCGGAACTCCTTCACTTTCACAAATGGGTACATATGTACACAAGCACAGACACAGAGGCATACACCAAACTCAAGCAGCATCACACATACAACACCGTACTCAAGCATCACACATACAAAAGAAAGGAAAGGAAAAGGAAAATGGAGTAAAGTTAGAGGTAGACATTACTGCAACTTCCTAGAAGAGCCAGTATTTTTTGATACCTATTATTTATTACATTTTCATTGTGTGGGGGTGTCTGTATATGTGTCTTTGTGTCTATATGTTCTTGTGGATCCACATGCGACAAGGCATGATTGTAGAGGTCAGAGTACATCATTGGGTCAGTTTTCTCAGTCCATTTGAGTTGCTGGGTTTGAATGAAGATCATCAGGCTTGGCAGCAAATATCTTTACTGGCTGAGCCATCTTGCCAGCCCCAGGCCCAGAACTAAAATTGGATTTTTCTCATGTCATCAAAATATTCTTGAAAAGCTGAACTTGGTGGCATAGGTCTATAGTCTTAGCTTTAGCTTTTTGAGAGGCTAAGGCAGGAAGTTCACAAGTTCAACACCTATCTAGGCTATAAAGTGGCTTCAAGGCCAGCCTGGGTGACTTAATGAAACCCTGTATCAAAATAGAAGTTGATTTTTTTTAGAAGGCTGGGCATATTCAGTGGCAGAGTTTTCCTTAGCATTCTTAAGACCATAAGGTCAATTCCTAGTACTGATGGGGAAAAATGTTTTGCAACTAATTTAAAATTCCATTTTTTGTTCACAAAATGGCATTTAGGAAACAAAATCAAAAGACTGGCTCTTTTATCAGGTAAAACACTGTCTTTTATGGGCTGAAGATATTCTGATCTATTTTGAGATGGTTACAGGGTTAATGACAATCTTTGAGGTCTATAATTTTACGTCCCCTCTCAGTAACACCATGACCTATCTGCATGTTCTTTAGCCATTTATTTCTTTTCTCAGACGTTTCCTTTCACACCAGGAAGAAGAAATTTCCAATTGCTTTATTTTCATTGACTTATTTAGATATTTATTGGTACTTGAGATAGAGCTCAGTGCTCCATGAATGCTAATACTCCCTGAGCTATACCCTCAAACCCCAAAACACAACCTCACAGCTAAACAAGTCAACTGATCTTTATAAACTGGTTGCTCCAGTTATATAAAGGAGCTGTTGATACTGTCCAGGGAGACTTGTCAGACAGACAGGTAACTGTTAAACCACTTAAAAGAACCATAAATCCATTCAGTCACTTTGTATCACTTGTGGGAATATAGAATGGCCTATAAACGAATGCAGTACGCATGACTATTAATCATCCCATGGAATTATCTGGTCATCTCTCATACCAGGCACAGTCTCGGGCTCTCACACTAATCAGAAAAGCACACTTAGAAAAGATCTGGGAGACAAGAGCCTTGCATTTCTGTCTCTGAGAGGGCTTGTGGTGGAGGAGTGCAGGCAGTCATATGAATGGATGAAGTCGTTTTTACCTCATGGCTGCTCCGAACTGAATCCAGCTGGGCATGTGAACTAAAAATGTGACTGAACTCTGGTGCTATTTCTGCTTCATTGGTTTCCAGTGCAGGTTTCTTCCCCCCAGAAACTTATTTTGTATTGCTTCATCTTGGCCTCTCATACCCTAGAGTACAACATTTAGAGAGATTTCTGCACAGCAATTATAATTTTTTCCACAAGGAAGCCATGTCTCAGACTTCTGCTGCTATTGTTCTGACAGGTACCTCTTTTTCCTTCAGGTACCACTGCTATTCTTGAGGATGGCTCATTGAAACACCTTTTACTTGCCTTTTAACATCCAGTCGAACGGAGCAGTACTGTGTTTTAAACAAAATCCCATTTGTATTAGGCAACAACATGCTCTTCATTCAAGCTTAAAAGCTTAAACATTTAAGAATTTGTGCAAAATATATTACAAGGTTTGCACTGAAACTTATACTAGGATGAAAGGTGTTGAGAACAAGAATCCGGGTCTTGGAATGTGCTCCACGTGGGGAGTGCTTGCTGCAGAAGCAGGAGGACCTGAATTCAGACACCTAGCATCTAGGCCTACCCAGCACCTACACCCAAGCCAGGTCAGGCAGCATGACTCTAACCTCGGAACGATGGAAGCAGACACGGACAAATCCCTGGAGCTTACTAGACAGCCAGTCCAGCTGAATCTGTGAACAGATCCGGTCTCAAAACTCAGAGGTGAAAAGTGGTTGACAAAGCTGCCCTAACTCGATGCCTCTGGCCTCCATATGCACCCATGCAGGCAAGCCTATTCCCACACATGTACAAATCCCCTCTCACACAGAAACCTCGAAGCAGAGGATGTGGGTCTGTGTCCTGCTAACCATTAAGTTTTCCCTCCCTCCTCCCTCCCTCCTTTCTTTCTTTCTCTTTCTTTTTTTCTTCCCTCCTTTCCTTCTTTCTTTCTTTTTATTAAATTCTTCTTAACACATAAAGGAAGACCATGGTACAGTTACAATCAGATCAAAGAAAATCAAACTGTGAAAGTTCAGAATCAGGAGTTGGGAGGTCCGCCTTCTGAGCTCCAAGGGCACCATTCCCACAGTTTGTCTTGTAGGCTCAGGCCACCTCTACTTCATAACTGCTGCTGTCCTTGGCTTTCATCCCATGGTCCAGGCGTCTACAAAGTGCTGGAGTTTCTATTTAAACTGGACTGCATCGTTACCAACATCTTCTTCTTAGGGACTCTGACCCAGACATGTTGGGCCAATCAACTTCTCTCCACAGTCTCTTCAATCCTTGGGCTTCTACTGAAACTGAAGTTGCACCCTTACCAAGGGCCTCTCCTTACTTCTCACAGTCTCAAGACCCAGTTGCTGTCCAGTAGGCCTGAATAACTTCAAAATAAGTACCAAAAATAAAAGTCAGAAGCTGGAGAGCTTCACATAATTCTTCTTCTGCACTCTCTCATTGCCTGAATTAGCACTCAAGAAATCTTGTCATTTTACACAGAAAACACATTCTGTTCTATTTATAATTTGTGCCATAAGTATTACTAATATATATATTGATTTATTTACCCACACCTAATATGCACATATATGGACACAAAGGTATATATATATATATATATATATATATATATATATATATATACACATTCATTATATATATTCCACATATATGCGCTCTGTTAAAAGTTGTTTGGAGTTTGGTAATCTCTAAAATCCAGATGGTTCTCGAAGTTTCACAACTCAGTTCCCAAATAAGTATTGTAGTAATTAATGTGTGTTCCCCAAAAGTCACTCAAAACCATCAGAATTCTTCTTTTAGAACTCTTACAGTACATGTTCAGGAAATGCCACCGAATTAGACATGCCCCTGCCTTCAGGAAGGTCATAGAGCCTATCAAATATGCTCTCTGGCATCACTGTAGATTTGCAAAGGATTCCAGAAGCCATCCACTCCATAGCAGGGAAGATGGAGCACAAGGGGCTGAACAATATCTACATCATCATAGTTGTGTTTGGTTTCCCCATGGTTGACTCCTCATTAGAAGGGGATCTGTATTTTAATTATTTAATATAACTGCCCCCCTCATTTTTATAATCCATAAAAAGTACACCATCATATAGTGATTTATAACAGGTCCACAAAAGAGGGACCAGCCTGACTAGTGCCAGAGGAAGACCTGGCTTCAAAACTCCTTTCATCTGAGCCTTCAGTGAATCCCTTCCGCATCTATTTCCACCTTCTACAGCCATAGGTGTCACCTCCCTGACCTAATCTTGGAAGTGGAAAAAAAACATTGTGGAATAATTTGTGCCTTGAAAGTAATCTGCCAAAGTTGTACTCCCCAATGAGACTTTCGTAAACATAAGGTTATTAAGGCGATAAAACTAAATGATGCTTACCTTAGTTAAAGTCATTATTGCTATGATGAAACACCATGATCAAAAACAACTTTGGGGAGGAAAGGATTCATTTGACTTATACTTCCATGGTACTTTTCATCATTGGAGAAAATCGGGACGGGAACCTGGAGGCAGGAGCTGATGCAGACGTCATTGATGAATGCTGCTTACTGGCTTGCTCAGCCTACTTTCTTATAGAACCCAGGATCTCCACTGGGTGGCCCCACCCACACTGGACTAGGTCTTCCCACATGAATCACTAATTAAGAAAATGCCCTATGGGCTTTCCTACAGCTGGATTCTATGGAGGCATTTTCTCAATTGAGGTTTTCTACTTCCCTGTGACGCTAGCTTGTGTTAAATTGACATGAAACTAGCCAGCACATGCCATGGGGCTAGTCTTTCACCCACTGGAATTTCCCATGCATGGAGAGAAGGCTAAGGGGGATAAGGTGAAGATAGCCACCCACAAGACAAGGAGAGCGGCTTCTAGAGAAGTAAGCCTGTTAACATTTTGATCGTGGGGCTTCTAGGCTTCAAAAACATGGGGAAAAGAAATGTGTGTTGGGCTGGGAATGTAGCCCAATGACAAAATGCTTGTCATCCTTAGCACCAACAAAAGAAAAATCTATCTATGACTATATTTATATCTATTTACTGATGTAAACTCTGTGTGTGTGTGTGTGTGTGTGTGTGTGTGTGTGTGTGTGTGTGTGTGTGTGTGTGTGTGTTCTGGTCTGTGTAGTATTTAGTCATGGTAGCCTAGTAAATTAATTCAGGAACTTCACCAGTTTTGGAGTCAATGCATTCTTTCAACAAATACAAACAACCCAGCCCATCTCTGCCTTACAACCTATCTCCATGGATGCCACTGTGTCCCATTTTTTCCAAGATTCTACAGAGCCTGTGGTTGACCTTCATACAATTTTCCTCTTTACACGTAATTAGGTTTCACTCATTCACCCTCCACCAAGTCAATGTGTATCTTCATTTCTTGTGATTTGGAGCTAAAGGACAACTTGATACCATATTAAAACATGAAATGCTAGTTTTTGAGGTTGTAGAGAAAGGAAAATGAATTTTATACCCTGATCATTTAAAACCAGGAATCCTCTGGTCTTGCAGGTCACCCATCAAGGGCATGAAGTCCCCAGAGTCTTGCTGTCTGTATGTTCTGTGTTAGACTCTTCCTGGATTATGCTTTTTGTGATAACCTAGAAGTCTAGCTTTCTTGAGTTCTGTAAGGTGTCCTTGCAAACTCCAGGGCAAATTCAGGACTCCCTGGCTTATTTTTGGTCTGTCAGGAGCACAGGTCACTACCTAAAATTCCTACTTCCAGGAAGATTATGTCAGAATTGAGTTCAACTGTAGAACAGAGCCAGTGTCAGAGCTGTTCAGCATGGGGGTAAAACACACTCAAGCACAAATCTGATCCCAAATGTGTATGTGTATGTGTAGTGTGTGTTACTTCCAGAACAGATTGTCATTTGGTGTCACAAAAGTAAGATTTAGTAGACTAGGCCTTGCTCACAGACACAAGGTTCTGGAAGAGAAGGGAGAAAAATCTTGGGCCTCTCTGATTCCTTGGGTTAAGCATAGAATGGAGAGCACCTGTATTTAATCAATTTCTGATGGTACAAAGTCACCAAAGGAATTTAGCTGCAAATCTACCTTCTGTCTCATTGGTTCACCATATACACAAGGAAACAAAAAGTAATATGAAAAAGGCAAAAATGTTCAAGTCTTTGTGTTTTTTATGGCATCCATCAAAGATAAATTAAAGCTAAAACAAAGTACTATGTCAGCTTTCAATGTTATATCAAGCTTGGATTTCAATAACCTCATTTTTATCTACTGGTCTGTTTAACTTTTTATTGCCAACTTGAAACAACATAGGTTCACTTGGGAATGGAGAGTCCCAATTGGAGAACTGCCTTGATCAGATTGCTCAGTGGCTGTATCTATGAGAGGTCATTTTGACTGATGATGGATGTGGGAGGATCCAGCCCACTGTGGGTGACACCATCCATAGGCAGGTGGACTTAGGCTATATAAGAAAATTAGCTGAGCATGAACCAGTTAGCAAGACAGTGAGCAGCATTCCTCCATGATTTCTGGATTGAGTTTCTGCTGTGACTTCCCTCAATAATAGGCTGTGAACTGAAAGCTGAAACCAGCCCTTATCTCCCCAAGTCACTTCTGGTCAGCATGTTTTATCACAACAACAAAAGAAAACTGGAACAATTCCCCAAGCAGAACATAGCTAAGAACACGGGCTTCCTTTTTTCCCAACCAACAGCTTTCTACTGTCTTTCTGTAAATCCTGATGCTTCCCACTGATCCTGACCTCCTTGGTAGCTGGGCACAGAATGGTGTGATGATTTTATTTTTTTGTTTGTTTGTTTGTTTTGTTTGTCTGTTTGGTTTTTGCAAAGATGATGTCATGGTATCTACTCCTATACATTTCATGCAATGATTTCTTGCTCAATAGCAGTACCATTAGCTTCCTAGAAGTCCTTTGTTAAAATAAATAGTGAGCAGGATTTAAGAGCCATATACTAAATGCATGTTTGCACTGACACAGGATGCATAACTCAGTATGGAATAATCACACGTAACTGAGTTACTCTGAGAACTGCCTAGATAACTAGCTTGATTTCTACCTCATCCTATTCATGTTTATCCTGTGTGTGTGATGTATATACATATGTACGTAGAGATATATACATGTATAAGTAAGACAGAGGAGGACAGTGAATGTTCTGTTACTCTCAGTTTTAATTGTGGAGACATGTTGAACCCAGAGCTAGGCTGGCAGCCTGAAAGCCCCAGCCACCCTCCCATCTCCTCCTCACAACATTGGCATGACAGGTGTATGGGGCCATGCCCAGGTTTATCTTGTTTATCTTTGAGGACAGGGTGTCTGTGAGCCAGAAGTTGTTCATCAGATTAACTGACTTGAATAAAGATGGTTGTTAGCAAATCTCTACCTTCATTGTAATCCAATTTGCATGCTAATGTCACCCTCCAGCACCATAACACCTGACAATTGTCATGCTTGAATGGAAAGAACCATCAATGGAATGAAAAGAGGTGGTAGCCAGTTTCCTGGGAAACCTCTACTAGTTCCCATCAAAGACATGAATATTCCTCCCATTAATAAACTCATCACTCTCCCTAGATTCTTTGATCCTATATCTATATACTCTCCTCACGTCAAAGAGCTGAGAAATTGATTTACCTGTTTGTCTGACCCTTCTCCCATTATTGGCCATGAATGAAAGTCTCCTTCTTAGTTGATGTTGTCTTGATGGTTTGGCAATTTTGAAATTCCAGTTACAGGCAAAACCAGAACAGGCTCTGCATGATGTACAACAGTTTATCCGTGGCAAGGCCAGATGAAAGCAACTATTAGATCTGTTATCCCAGAGAAAGGAACCTGTCCATTACCCCTAATAAATGCCAAAAGGAAAATGTCTAATGAACAATTAATATGCTTCATATGCAAACCATGTTATATTGGTTATGTATTCATGAGGATATTTATCCACTGAATGCACCCATTACTCAGGTACTGGTAGATACTGTGGTTAAGGGTGTCTTTTTACATTTACATTTTACATGGAGTACAAATAACCTACAACCAATGGAAACCCTGCAAAAACCCTTTAACTCTACTTTTTTTTCCCTCAAGACCTGTTATTAGTGTGTAGCTCAGAGTGTATACAGAGAAACTCTGTATTCTCCTTTGTCTTTTAAGTGTTGGCATTATAGGCAGATATCACCACAACTGGTTTTGCTATGGTCAGTGGTGATAAGGATGGAGGCACAGCTCCACGTTGTCACTCCCAGAAGCCCAGGATCTCCCCTCACTAATGCCAAATACCAAGGAGAGCCAAGCCCAACATGAGAAAAGCTATCTTTACCTTCTCTCTGGGTGTTATTAATGGTTAGATTACTAGATGGCCTCATATTGTTGGTGTATTATTCAAGAAATAGAGATAATCTCCTACAGCTATGCAAAGTAGCAAGGAAATGGATTTAGAGAAAAGCAATGGGACATGTCAGGCCATGCTACGAAGAGTGACAATGAACCACATGAGTGGAGGTACTCAAGGACTCTGGTTATTGTTTGGGGTGCCTTCCTTTATAAGGTTCAAGAGACAAAGAAGTTTGATTGCTAAGGAATATAGTGATGGTGGTTCTCTGTTTTAATTGACAGGTTTGGATTAGGTAAACCTTTGTTCATAGTACATGTCCCTTTCCATGATACATCTAATTCTAATCTTGTACATTGACATCTATGAATAGGCATAAGATTATAAATACAGGATTCACTCTATAAACTTCACTCAAATGATACAGTCTGCCTTACTGTAAATGTATCCAAAACCACCCTAGGCCAGATCAGTCCACCTCTCTTGATTTCAGGATGTGTTCTAGAATAGATACTAGTCGTTATGAATAGGCTGCTAAGGGTAGTAGTTTACTTGTGTTCTTTAAAGTAGGTTTGCTGCAATCTGATATACATGGTGTTGGGGGAAGTCCTGTGCATTTGTCAATAAAGTACTGTTGAGCCTATAGGAAACCTAGATAGGAGGGACTAGGAGTCCAGGAGAACTCTGGGAAGGAGAAAGACAAGAGAGTCGACATGTGACGCCATAGGGGTAAGAAGCCGGGAACTATTCTCCGGTAAGAGACATACTTAGATTAACAATTATGGGGTAATTACTTAAGACAGAGCTAGCCAGTAAGGGACAAGCAAGGCCAACAGCTTCATAATTAATATAGCCTCTTGTGTGTTTATTTGGGACTGATGCGGATCTAGAACCAGGCTGGCACGGCAGAGCCCAGGCGACTGGCGGGGGATATACCAAAGCGGCTAGCAAAAGAAAAAGCTTCTCTTAACATAATGGTTGTCAGGAGTGGGATTGAATTTCCACGCAAAACAACAAAAGCTTTAAAGGAATTTTAGAAACAGAAGAACAGAGAGAAGCACAGATTTTTGGTAGCAGCATTTTTCTCAGGTGTGCTCTGTTTTGCTATCGACAAGCCGAGATTCACGTGGCTCGGTTACCGGAGTCTTCCTGACTCAGCATAAAAAGAAAAAGAAAAAAAAAAAAACCAACAAGGTTGTTTTAAGAGACTCTGCTAACAAT